CCATAGCCTCACGTCGTCATTGGGCCGTTTGTGACCTTACGCTTCAAGATACGGCAAAACGGACGAAATTTCTGCCCTAAAAGGGCCGTAACTTGCCATTTTCCTTCAGAATTGATGTAGCGCTTGCCAAAATTTTTGAATTTTGGGTTTAGGCCCTTTAGGCCCTTTGAGGCACGGGTTAAAATTTTTTTAAAATTTTTTCCTTTTAGGGGGTTCATTTAGAGACTACATAGAAACTTTTTAGGGGTTGACCAACTTGATTTTCGCAAAACTCAAAAATAAGGCACACCCTATAAGGCTCCCAAACACTTTTTGATGGTAAGTTTTATCCAATAATTGCATACACAACTGTAACTTCCGTTCAGTTTCTCTAATAAGATATATTTTATTGTAAATGTGCTTTTGTTATTTTAATGATTATTCCTTTCCTTCAGTGACTTTAAGCGTTTTGAATTGCTGCCTACTTGAAAAATACTAGGACATGTTTAAATTGTTTAAAAATGAATAGCAAGGATAATGCAATCCTAAAAAATAACGTCTTATGAACATTCAAAATTGCCAAATTTCATCGGATAAAATTTTTATATTTGATGAAAGTTTTGAATCCTTTTAGCTGAAATTTACGCAGGAGTACTAAATGAAATTACGGAAAGAATTCTATTTATGTTTCAAATGAAAAACTTCTGGAGTTTCTCATACCTTTTTTATTTTCTTGGAAGAAGTTTCACAACGTTCGAAAGTATCATTTGATGTATTCCTTAGAACGGCAAAATTCCACTTATTATGTCTCTTAAAAACATAGAGTATATATAGTCGTAATGTAAATGGGAGAGCTGGCACCACTTTTGAACATTTCCCAGGTCCCGAATTCCGAGACTCCTCTGTCACGCCGGGTCACTTTTTCGATACACAGTCGATTGTTTTCGATACAAGGGGACCGGTCATCCGATGTAAACAAAGAGAATAGGAATTATTACCCGCATTCATAGCCATTTTGGATCGCAACAAAGATCGCAGTAGTTGAATATTTTGGAATTGATAATAAATATGATCGTGTATTTTGTATTGAATAATTCTAAATTTTATTCGTGCAGGCCCTGTTTCGAGAAAATGATGAGATGCCTGAGCTTGGAAACGTTTTAGACCCCAATAACTTGGACTGGTATCCATATCTTTCAAACTGGCCATGTGACAATACGTCTCTCTACACATTCGTAATGACAGGTAAGGAGTATTGTGGTTTGAATTTTACTATGTCTCGTGCGGAATGAGATAAGTCACGAGAATTTAAACTTCTCTGAGGCCGACTCTGTTTGTGACAAATAATATCTACACTTAACTCATCTACAGTAACTTGTCAGTAAATTTTCAGCCGAATGAGCTCGCTTTTTTCTTTCTCAGAGGCTCGCGAATTGCTCTTGAAATTCCTGCGACCAACTTTTCACCGTCTTCGGTTTCGTTGCTATCTTAGTGAAATTTGATCATATTAAAAAAGAAGGAGCCAACGCGCTTTTTACCCGTTTTGAGAAAATCAAGTCGAAACTTATAGCGCTCAAAGCATTTCATAAGACTAGTTCCTTTTTTATGTGTTCATGAATTGAACGGAATCATTTCACAGAGGAAAACAAATTCACAACTTTTTTTGTCTGGACCTCTTTCAAGATTGTAACTGAATTTACGGAAGGAACCCGACTCGAACTGGACCCCTCCAGTGCACTCCGTTCTCAATTAGGTGGGATCGTGGTTCCTATCGCGAATAAGTGCCTACAGTTACCAAAAATTGTAACCAAAAAAAGGTGTTGGATAAGCGCGGCATGATCATGAATAATCCTAATTTAACCGACGATTTATGGGAGGAAAAGGAAGTTTAATCGATGAGTGACAACTTGAACTTATTAATAGAGGGAAGCTATGAAGTATATGGTGCCAAAAGGAAAACAAAAACATTTCCATGTAAATATGAGCTGCGAAGTTAAAAATATAAACATTTGTCGCNTCGTTTCTGTTAACACGGCGACATCTACATTATACTTTTTTACCTCCGATACAACCTCTGTCAATTTATTAGAAATGCCCTGTACATTCCATGTCCCAAAAACCATTGTCCTTTTCCGTAGTTTGTGTCGCAAAATCCGTTTTTTTCCATTATCACCGAGGCTATCTTTATTAGGCTTTTTAACATTAAGTTTTTTCCGGGTATCGGGGAGTTAGCCCGATGCCCGAACCCCCAACCTGGAGGACCAGGGTTTGATTTTGGAGTACCGTCTCCTAGACAGGCTGCTTTCACCACAGCTATGAGCCCTGTCTGCCCCTCTGATGAGTGGTTCATACGCCATGAAGCCGGTGACCATCTCCACCCCCCTTTAAGGCAGGGGCTACCAGCTGGGGTCCGCAGGCTTGCTAAACCTGTGACAGTACTGAGTACAGTCCCCCATACGGCCTAGGACAGATATACATAATACATTTTTTAAAAAAAAAAATCGATTCAAACTTGTCGATATGTTTCATAGTTCAAAGCGACTTCTGTCATCACAGCTTGCGTTTGGTTGATTTGAGGTCAGCCGCAAATAAAGTGAACGTCAATCTGACCCTATGAGAGAGTTTAAGCACAACTCATATGATACTTGAGACGACGTGACCAAGTTTAACAAAAATGAATTTATCAATCTCAGAAGCTAAAACAGCAATTTTGGCCTCATCCACAATCTTGGATTTGACAATTTCGAAAATTGGACTAAAAATTCGAGTTGCTGGTCGAAAAATACCCGCTGGTACCAAGTTTTACGAAAAGCAATGGTAAAGGAGCCGACATAGCATTTTAGGCCATATCCGCCATCTTGGATTTGTGAGTTTTGAAAAGTGACTGAAAATTCGAGTTTCTCGTCGAAAAATACTCTCTAGTACCAAGTTTTACGAAAATCGATGGACTAGGAGTCGAGATAGCATTTTAGGCCAAATACACCATCTTAGATTTACGAATTTTGAAAATTGGACTTAAAATTCGCGTTTCTTGTCAAAAAATACCCCTTGAAACCTACTTTTAAGAAAATCTTTGCTATAAGAGCCGAGATACGGGGTGCAGGAATGACGTGTCGCCGTGAAGGAGGAGAAAAAGTCGGAGAAGTCAACGAAGGGTCTCGTGACGTCATAGCAATGATTGGTGGGTCGCTGGACATTTGGTAACTTGCTGGTGTATCTTGGCCTTCACTGCCTGCCGAAATGACAGCCAATCGGAAACCCTGTTACATGGCCTATTGGCCTCGCAGCTTGCACGTGTAACCGATGAGGAAATTTCAAACAGCGATCTGCTCAAAGCAAATTGGTAGCTACGTAAATATTAGAGAGCTTTCGCAGAATATAAAGGGATTATAATAGATTCCTTTGTTCACAGCATTAATTAAAAAATTGTTACCAGCACTCTAAACGGTCTCCACGTTTAATTATCACGATGAATCACGAATTGTCTCCGTGGCGGGAACGTAGTTACGTTCCCGCCACGGAGAAGCTTTGAAAATAATCCAGGATGCAATGGGTGATGCATCATGTATCAGGGCCGGATTTACCTACTTGCCGCTCATGGGCCGCCTGTATTTTGCCGCCCCCATCTCATTCGTTTTGAAACATAAATAAAAACCATCAAGTGAAAGTGCTGGAGGGAGAGGGATGCATAAGACGCGTTTACTCGTGTTGGATACATTTTTTGCGGAGGCCCTGTCAACACTACTAGCAAAAATTCACGAAACTTGGCGCTAAAGTTAAGTTCCGTAAACCTGTCTCTGTGTAGACAATGCCCTCCATTAATAAGAAATGAACAAAAAAATTATGAAAGAACAATCATAAATGTGGTTCAATAATTTTAACTTCCACCGCCGCGCCGTGCTGGACGCACTGTGTTTGACGCAATGCGTGAAATATTCCTGCAGTCTTGTAAGCGCTATGCGTTACACGGCAACCGCTGTTGACCGCACTGTGTTTGACGCTATGCGTGAAGTATTCATGCAGTCTTGTAGGCGCTAATATGTGTTACATGCCGACCGTCGCGCCGAAGGCCTCTCCTTTTCATCTCTAGTCCTCGTCATCGTTGCTCTCTGCGCCGCGCCGCTCCAGGCCGAATTACGTGTTTGGTTTCTCTCATAACTTGACTAATTAAAAATGCTGTCTTTTGTATCACCGCAAAACGACAAAATTAGAAATTACTATACTAGGAAATGCAAGATTTAGTCGCCCTTTCCCGTTTGCAATTTTATTTTTATACCTACATTTTAAAAAAAATTGCAAAATTTGCCGCCATGGGCCGCGGCTACTACTAAAATTAATTGGAAATGTTCATCTAAGAAATTCAGGTAGGACAACAACTTTAGGGAATAAGTTCTAACACTTTTTTTCCGTCAAAGAAAATGATTGGATCATTACTTAAATGAAACCTTCGCTCATTTTCCCTAAAAATGGCGGCCGTTCCCCTCTGTTTCTTGTGATCCGATCAGGCTCAATTATTTCGAGACCGTTTCAACATAGTGAGCGATTTTCCTACCTTCACAGATCCTGACTCTCCCTCAAAATACAAACCAAAGATGCGGGAGTGGCAACACTGGTTGGTTGGCAACATCCACGTGGCGGTTGAAGAGGGCGATTTCTTACCGGATGTTTTCGAATCCGACATGATGTCTAAGTACATTCCGCCGTATCCAAAGAAGGGAACCGGTAAGCTTTGCTAATTTCTAATCTTGAACGGGGAAAACGGTCTAAAAAAGGCCCCCAAGCCCGTTTTTATTTAGACATTTTACTATTGAATTAAAAGTACTGCAAAATTTGCCTGAAAATAAAACTGCAAAAGTACCGAATTTTAAATTAACATATTTGTTGAGTTTTGTCGACGATCGCGGGTTCGCATTTTTACTGAAAACAGTGTCACAATACCGCTCAAGTGTATTCCTGTACTTTAAGTGTTTCTACTATGCAGCGCAGAGATGGAACAATGGACTAATTTCCTCAAACATTTTTGATCTAGAGGCGCATACGCAACAAAAGTTCAAGTCAGTCTCTATATCCTCGCCCCTTAAAACTATAAGTATGGATCATAAGTTCAAATTAGGTATGTGAATCCGCACTCCATCCCATTCAGATTTTAGAACTGTATGCATGAAAAATGCCATGCTATAAAAACGAGCGTAATTAAAAAAAAATTTGAAACATACATTTACAATTATTCTTTCATTAGAGAGATGCAAAGGGAAAATTAGGGGGGATAAAGTCGGAAAAATTATTCTTAGGTGGCACCCTAATGTGTAGCTGAGATTACCTAGAGTTCGTGCATCGAGATAGATCACCAAAATGTAGGTATCTTGTTTTTATTTTAAAGAGAAAAACTGCGATTAAATTTCAAGTTAGTTCAATTTTTTGAACAACATAAAAATGAAAAAATCAACTCCTGAGCCAGACTCGGCAATTGCGATTTTGATATAATAATATAAGGAAGGAGATAACTTGCTGTTGGTTCTTGACGATACGCTTTTCATAAAGTGCGTTGGGAATCTAATTGTGCCGATGAGAGGAATGGCACATTTTTGTATGATTTTACGTCAAATGCAAAGTTATAAATTAAAGTTTATTTTTTCAGGTTTCCATCGCATTGTCTTTTTGGTGTACAAACAACCGATGGGTCGAATTGAATTCAAAGAAAAGCTGTTGTCTTACAAGTAAGTATTTCAAGAGTCGAGTTACTTGCCCAAAATCTGATCGTGTATTAAACATGGCAAACCGTAAGATGATAGAGACGTTTAAGTTGTCCCAAAAAAGCTTTTACTGAGACATAATCAGCACACTGTGCCCCCCAAAAAACGTACATACGTACATAAAATGTAACTAGCTGCTTCAACTCGCTACGCTCGCTTGCGCCGCTAGCCTGGACCCCCAGTCACTCGCCCCGCGAGTGACTGTTGGCTCGCTTCGCGAGCCAAATTTTGCTACTACTAGCATTGAAAATGCAATGACGGAATGAGAATTCAAAATCTTAAGTTATTTATTTGAGGGAAAGCTATGTCAGGAGCACCAATTATTAGAGGAACAATATAAAACAAAATCATGACTATTGCATAGGAAATCACTACAATATACATTGGCGGATCCAGCAAATTGGCAACATTGCAATTTCTCCAATTAAACCTATGGGAATGTATCGATTCTTGGAGGGGCCAAGTGCTCCAACAAGAATCGATTATTTAGCGTGGGTTTAAATGTAGAGAATCCGGTGTTGCGAAATTTCTGGACCCGCCTCTGCCACAATATATATACGTGATCATTTTTTAAACAGATCCAATATTGATAAGTTCACCGGGCCGATTATTGAAATTTAAACCAGGTCGATAAGACATCGAATTGCGATATATTGCATGGTTAAGATAGGGCTATGTCTTGTCGTGTCGGGCTGACATAGTTTCAATAATCAGGCCGCAGGCCGAATAAGTATTCTAAAAGAAATGCCAGTTAATCTTCTTTAAGTAACAAAAATAAAATACAAAATACCAATATCCTTATGATTTTTTAAAATAGCTCAAACTTTCATATATTATTATAAGGATAACATCAAAATGCAATTATCGAATTGATTAGTTGAAAATGTAATGATACTTTTGACTTTGATGCATGAGGCCTGAAGACCGTTAGTATTGATTTCTTTTTTTGAACGTAAAACTGTTTACTGTGACGAATAAGGGTAGTAACGAAGTTTTGAAAGAAATTTTATTGTCGTGAAAAATAGTATTTAGAAGAATGGTCATTCGTGGAGGTATCACTCATAATTTTGACAAAAAAAGAGTTTTAAGAGAATTGCCGTTTTAAAATTAAACAAGCTCTCAGGAGGTAACTTCGCGTCTTTAAACGCTTATTGATGGCTATGCATGATGAACCATAGAGAAAAAAAAGGAGGTGTTTGCATCTTGAGGTTTGTTTACCCTGTGACGTAGGTCGGTACAACCTGGCCAGCAAAATCCGGAATTCGAAGTATGAAAAACGGACCCAGATGTTCCATTTTTTTGCTTAAATCAACTAATTATATAATTTCAAGCACTTTTTATAGAAGACTTTTTTCCATAAATTATACCATTTCAAAGAAAATCGATGATAAAAGTCGCTATGCCGACCTACGTCATCAAAAAAATTCCAAGATGTCCGAAATACAAGCACCTCCTTTTTTACTTTCTTGCTCCCTTGGGGTAGAGAGGAAGTTTTGTCATCCTCCAAGGGGAAAAGTAAAAAAAAAAAAAAAAAAGTTGAAATTGCATCATTTCTAGACGTTTTAAGGTCCCAGGAGTCAAAACAACCATACTTGAAAAAATGTGTGTCCGTCCGTGCGACGTCCCCCAAATCTGTCTACGGTGATATCTCAGAATCTATCTGTTCGATTTCATTCAAAATTGGCACAGACCACCATATCTATGGTCTCCTTATGCACGTCAAACGATTTTGGGGTACGCTAAAATTTGGGGGGGGGGGGCTACGCTAAATTGTCCATTTTTAGCAAAATCGTTTTTGTTTTAGAATGTCGCAATTATCCATTTCCTCCTCAGACGATGAGCCATTAATCATCACGGCGACGCCGCTGACTTCGCCTTCAACCACAGGAGCAGCCCTTCTCAGAGCGGCAGCCAAGCTGCAGACGTCCACACACACCCCCCCTCCCCAAGCGAGACAACCAACGCAACCCGCACAGGCCAGGCTGCAAACATACAAGTCTCCCACAAGACAGCCAACGCGGCCCGCGAAGATCACCTCCAGGGGCCCCAGTCGGCAGCACCCACAGATGAGCCGGCCGCATCCTTCCGCTAAGCCCGCAACCACGGTCTTCCGCCGGTTAGGCCCGCTGCCCACCGCGTCCGCGAGGAGCTCGGGCCCCTCCGTGGCCAGCACCACCACCAGGCTTACGCGAAATCCATCAGGTCCACCCCCCGCGGCATTCAGCCCCCGGACAGCCGCACGCGTCCCTCGTGCATTTACCAGCAAGCGCGCGTCTCGCGCCTCACCGCCGTCCACCCTATAACGGACAGCCGATCGCGTCAACCTCCAGCTGCCGCAAGACGACACCCCGGGCGGAAGCCTCCTCGCACGCCCGTCCGCCCCAAGCGAAAGCACCACGCGTCAGTTCGGAGGAAGACATTCGCTCCCCTGCTCTCCCCTCTCTCTCCCGCGCTCACGACCTCAGAGTGGCGAAGGTTCCTTAAAACCTGTAGCTCGCTAGACACGCCTCCGGTGCTCTCCCCACTCCCGCCCACTCCTCCGAGGCCGAGACCAACCAGTGCGGTTCGCCCCTCCCCCATCATCGTATCGGACGACCCGACCCCACCATCAAAGGCCAGCACTGTGATCCTGCCGCCAAGGACAGCCGTCCTACCAGCCAGACGATTCGGTGACATTTCTCACATGGTCGAGGTCCGGAGCACCAGAGACGTAGCCACCCAGACAACTGTCACCCAGCCGGCACGGACCTCCGTCGCTACGACCACCACCTCTACCCAAACCCCGGCGGACTTTTTTTGGTCCCTCCTCCGCGCCTGGGTAAGGCGCCAACTGGAGCACCTGATCGCCCGCTCCCGTAGCAGGGCAAAGGAACCTATTCCTATTCCTCAGAGAGTCCCTCTCTGAGGATATTATTATTATATATTATTTCTGCACTGAGGATAAACCTCTTAGTTATTCATTTCCTTATAAAATTCATCTCGTGAAGATGAAGTATTAGCTTTAATTAGGTTTTAACACTTCAATGTCAATATCAGCTTAATAATGATTAAGGGGACACTTTAGATTGTGACATGAGGTGAAGGCAACTTTTAATCTCTTGAATCTCTTTTTTCAAAAAGTTTATTTCTTCCAATAGTTGTAATCTCTCGTTACGGTGTTCTATTTCCATTGTTTGAATTCGATTTTTTAATCTCTCAATCTCGTCGTTTTTATTAGTTAGATTTCTTTTAAATTCACTACCGCCCTCTCGCTTCCTAGTCTTGTCTTGCTTATTTTTATCACTAATGCTACTTATTATTCATTTTGTTTTTTAAATTGATCGATTTTCTGTTTCCTCATTTTCTTAAATTATTTACAACCTTTCCATGTGGAGAAATGAGATTCTCCACAGTGAAGGCATTTAGGTCTTATTGGGGCATTTTCCAGTCTTGCTTTTTCGACCGGTGTACATTTATCACCAAAATGATGATCGTTACAGATGATACAGGTTATCTTAAGCTTACAGTAACGTTTTGTATATAACCGTAGTTTAAACAGTTTTTGCAGATAGGTATCTCCATAAGTGAGATATCCATTAGTATTGCTTCAAAAGTAACTTCAAAATTATCAATTTTGAAGTGGAATTGTTGATCAATATTCATTCCCTCAAGTTCATAGAGAAAGGACTCTTGAAAGCAGTCCAGTTCTTTCTCAATCATTTTTCGGCATAGGGTCTCAAACTTTACAGAGAAATTACTCAAATAATCTCTAATTGATGTTGAATTCTCTCCTTTCTCATTTAAGAATTTAATTGAATCATCTAATTTCTCATTGACTAATATTTTAAAATTTGATAACATTTCCTCTGTATTGTCTTCAAGAACATCAAAATCCATCCTATCTAGTTTTTTTTTTGAAATTCTAAGACCCTCATGTAACAAAATATAGTCATTATCTGTTATTTGGCTTTTGGCGGAGGTCTGCTGGCATCTCAAGAAGAGAGCGTATCCGCAATGTAAAAGTACGCGAGATCATGGGTGTAGAGAAGGACATCGTGCACGATATCAGGTCCAAGCAGTTGATCTGGTATGGACATGTGCGAAGGATGGCAGACGACCGGTTGCCCAAGCAGGTCTTCGATTGGGTTCCTCCCGGAAGGCGACGGCGTGGACGTCCTGTGAAAGGTTGGCGACAAGGGGTGGAGGAGGAGATCAGAAGGTGCCAATTGCCTGATGATCTCTGGGAGGATAGGGGGCAATGGCGATTGGGCGTCGCAGAGCGCGAGGCGGCGCTATAAAAGCGACTTTATGTATGTATGTATCTGTTATTTCAGTTTTGAGTTTTTTGACTAATGTTTCTTTGAGTACTTTAAAGTAATCAGCACAGTACCTACATTTATGACCTTTAAAATTATGTACACAAATTTAATTAATGAAGTCATCGGTAATTGATTTCTGTAGATCTGGAATACATCTAGATCAGGGCCAACCTAGAAGGTGTCTGCATAAGAAGTCTTTGTGAACATTCACTTTACTTCTAAATCTAGCTTTCCTGGTTGACATCGAGCGTAAACAGACAGCCATTTCTAGGTTAGGTTTCCTCGCCGGTTGTCATCGAATGTAGGTGATTTATTGACAGATGTAATCAAGCAAACGTTGTCACATTTATCTAAAGAGAGTTCGATCAAGCTGATAAAGTAGCACTCCAAGCGAAAAAGTTATATAATATCATGTCTTAAAGAGCACAAAAGGGCAAATATCTATACGATACTCACAACAGTTTCACGATTTAGGACGAGAGATGAATACTTGAGAGTCTAAGCTTTCAGAGGATGTAAATCTCAAGTTAAAAGGACAACTTTAAACCGTAAAAACTAAAAAAACTCTGAGGAGCGTAGCGACGTTGGACCTCACTCGGCCAGAGCACAAAACGAACTCTCAATCCTGACATGGCGTAACTACGCCTAGAAGATCAATCGCTTCGTGTCGAATAAATATTGAATCAGTTTGTCAACACTTTCTCATATTACATACAAATCGACGGTGAAACTACCAGACCAGGCTCGGACTGGCGCGGCGTGAAAAAAGCTAGGCCGCGGCGACTCATCGTGAGGGCCCCCACGGGGGTGAGAGGGTGGGGGAGACCCCCCAGGAAAGAGAGGGGGTCCGGGGGGCGGCCTCCTCCCGGAAAATTGTTGGATCTTTTATATCCCGAGAATGCAATTTTATCCTCCCGGACGTTTGTACAATTGTTTACTTTTAGAGGTTTGGATTGATACAATATTCGACCTAAAATGGAATTTTGAGAGCACGTAAGTTTTATTTCATATCAAAAAATTTCACTGAAATAACTCGTAACAGTGGAGGCGCCCTACTCGAGGGCTCCAGTCGTCGAAAACTAATTAACCCTTAGATTACAGAGTCTTAAAATTAATGGAAACAATTCTGGGGCCCCGAGGACGACGGCAAAGAAAGAGAATTAAAAAACAAATTGTGGGGCCCTCTTCCTCGGGGGCCCCGGGGAAAAGGGCCCCAGAATTGTTTTTATTAATTTTAAGACTCTGTAGTATAAGGGTTTAGAGTTAATTAGTTTAGATCAACACGCGATCCGGCTCGCCGCGGTCAGCCAAGTTCCGAAGCGTTCCAAAGTTCCGAAATCCGAGGTTCCTCAATTTTTGAGCAAACCTAGCATATTCATACAGGGTGGCCCAGACCTACCGTACCAGGTCTTTTTTTTCGGTTAATTTGGGTATTAGGAAGTCCAGGATTGCGGGGATGAATAGGGAATCGACCCCAAGGAATCCGAATTTCATGGTCTCAGAGCCTCCCTGGCGTCCCTTGGGGGGTAAAAGGGGGGTCCGTACTTCAAAAGTCAGGGTTAATGTCAAAATTTTGAAATTATTTCATTGGAATCAAAACGTACGGAAAATTTTAGCTTAAATCGACACCAAGAAATCCAAAATCGGCCCACCCGTGTCCAAAATACCAACCCTTAAAGGCAGGGGACAGAGCCCCTTTTCAAAAAAATTCAAGTTCGTTAAATTGACGTGGAAACTCGGAAAAAATGTGTATTCGTGGGTAATCGACCCCAAGGAATCCGAATTTGAGGGTTCCGTTGTCCACAGAGACTTTTCTGATGGCGCACAGGGAGACTCTGAACTTTCAAATTTAACCGGTGTGGAGGTTACCCCTGTGCCCCATCAGAAAAGTCTCTGTGGACAACGGAACCCTCAAATTCGGATTCCTTGGGGTCGATTACCCATGAATACACATTTTTTCCGAGTCTCCACGTCAAACGAACTTGAATTTTTTGAAAGGGGGCTCTGTCCCCCGCCTTTAAGGGTCGGTATTTTGGACACGGATGGGCCCATTTTGGATTTCTTGGTGTCGATTTAAGCTAAAATTTTCCGTACGTTCTGATTCCGATGAAATAATTTCAAAATTTTGACATTAACCCTGACTTTTGAAGTACGGACCTCCCTTTTATCCCCCAAGGGGCGCCAGGGGGGCTCTGGGACCATGAAATTCGGATTCCTTGGGGTTTTTTTTTTAATAAAACCAAGGAACGTAGACTCTTGGTATTCACTGCACATAAACTAGAAAGCCCCAGAATGAGAAACAACTTTAAATCATAATTATTGACGGATAATAATAAACTTTTTACACGCTTTGGAAAATCTCAGAAGTTCGCGGTAGTCACTTTTCGGTAAGGAACTAAGGGACTCGGTTATTGTATCGAGTGGGGGGTCGAAACGATCGCAAAGGCGGTATACTACGTATACGCGCCAACAAAAAGAATATTTTCAAAAGGATAGCTCCCTGCTTTTTCTTACTTCTGTACAGGTTTCCTCTATGTTAGCGGCTCTGGTGCCAGCACCTATAGCTGCTATTCCGGTCGCTCTCTGCAGTGGATGTTACCAATGGTAAGTAGTATCGCCGAATTTAGTTCCCTTTCTCTGATGAGGGTTTTCCGGTCAAAATGGCATTATCCACCCACGAATCCTATATAAAACTGATCCGTTCTTTTGAGTCTGGAAGGACAGAAAATCATTTTATTCAGATAGCTATAATTGGGCTACTATATCTTATTTTTTGCTTCTGACCCCGAATCGACCTTTGTATTTTCCACAACCCACTAATTTTCCGAAAGATCGAGTTTGCACGAAAAAAACCCCTTATTCAGATGCCAAAAATACGCATTTATATAAACCTTCGGATTTCCAAAATATTGGTCAGAAGTATATAAAAAAAAAACACGGTCATTCTCTGATCTAGCAGCAAACATATAGTTAGTGGAAGGTCCTCCATTAAGGACCTAGATAAAATAATGTTTTCGTTCTTTCGGACGAAAAACAAAATGATGCGTTCCACATGGGGCTTTACAAGCGCATTATGTCATTTGACTGGAAAAACATTGTTATTTGAAAAAGTGAGAGGCATTCGTTGGACGTGCAATACCTGCATCCTTTTGTATTTTTAGTTACTCGATCCAAAAATTACCTTATTCATTTCTATCGGACACCAGTTCCCTCGTAAAATTAAACGTTCCTCGCATGGACGGACTGGCTCACATCTAAGAGCGTGGAACCTTGGCCGGTTAAGGGGGTGTCGTATGATATTTCCCGGGGGGATGCACCCCCAGAGAAATTTTTTTAAAATTGAACGTGTTAAAGTAATCGATAGAGTTGTGAAACGAAAAAAAAGAGAACAAATCACAGCTACTAGACGCATCCAAGTTCCGTTATTTCCAGAGATTCCGAGGCAGATCTGGCCACCTAAAATACTGCTTTTAAACACTATAAGCCTGAAAATGATGAACCCAAGAAACACGTCAGCTGGAAAGATCTTTTTAGCTTCCTCGATTAGAAAATGAAACATGTAATCTAGTTAGCACAAGGTGAAATTTTGAAGGAGAGAGAGAGAGAGGGAAAAAGAGTGTTGAGTCTAGCAAAGGACAAGGTGCTCAGTAAGGCAAGTAAAAAAAAGAGATAGGAACGAATCAATTGAATGCATTAGGTATATACAGCAGGAAGATCCATTCAGCGATAATTTTGTTGGAAATGAGAATGTTTTCAGACGTGACCGAACAATTGGAGCCTAACTTTGTGAGATAGCATAACCAAATTTTATTGAAATTCACGGTCTGAATGGCCTATTTTGGATCCAATGTTGAATACTGACTTTTTGCGAGGAAGGTGCAGTCATTTTAATGATATTTTT